GCTATTATCCGAATGGTAGATACGATTATCACATTGAGATAATTGGACATTCAACTAAAGGGTGTAGACAACTGAAGGAGAAGATCGAATATCTCATCAATAATGGCACCTTGATCATGGAGCTTATAAAACAATGAAAATATACAAAAACTTATATTGATCTTATCCCCATGTCATATACCAAGGTATTTTCAAAGCTTGTTAAAAATCATGTGGTAACACCTGTTAAACTAGAATCTATAAAGTTGCCTTATTTTAGATAGTATGATGCTAATGCCACATGCGATTATCATAATGGGATATGGGTCATTGTATAGAAAGTTAGCCTTTTTTCAAGCACTAGGTGCAAAGTTTGATTAACGCGGGCGTGGTGAGTTTCGACAAGCTAAGTGGGTTGAGTATTGACCACAAAGGGGAATAATTTAGATAAAGTTTTATGAATGCTCATCATTTTAGGAACTTTAAGAAATAATGCAAGTCTTTAAATATTTATGAACATTTGAGTCTTTTATGATTAGTTTTTTATTTATCTTTCAACATCTCAATAAAATATTGACATGTGCATTTTCATTACATTTTCTCTTTTTTTCATTGCCTTTATATATGCCTTCCATATTTCACCCGCTTTCATGTTCTAAATAATAAATGTTCAAACAATCATGACAATAATTCATGATTCAATACTAAAAGCATCATTCACATTGGTGAAATTGATGAATTGAGATTATTAAAATATAGGATTACTAAAAGTAAAATGAGAAATGGATCAAAACTAGCAAGAAGTTTCAAACATTAAAAGAAGAAAGTGATACAATATGTGATTTTTTGTAATGATTCATTCATAAGTTTGCTCTTAGTCAATAAATATTTTTCATTAAGAGTATTCGTGTTAGATATAAAAAATAACCATATTTTTTATACCTTTCACATAAGGAGTAAATTATCCATTCGTTATCCCATTTAAGCCTATTGAAATTTTCTTTGGAATAAACCCTAACCAAGGATCACCTATACACTAAAGGCAAAGTTTGAAAAGTTTGTTTACAAAAAAGGAAAGTGAAGGTCACTAATGATTTCAGAGGAAAAGCCTTTTTGTGGTTTTTTTTTTTTAAATGATGAAATGTGCAAAAAAAAAAAAAGTGAAATGAAAAGAAAAGAAAAGAAAAAAGGGAAAAACAAGCAAAAAAAAAAAAAATTGATGGGGTAAAATGTCAAAGTGTTTTACATAAAGTGAAACGATCCTTTGGTTCATAATTTTTCAAATATATTTTAGGCTTATTTTATCCATTTTTTTCATAACCCTTACCTTAACCTATGTTACTTCCTTTAAAAGTTCATTTTTATCGAATGGGAATACTTGAATTGAAGAATCATGATTTAAACTAAGGCAGACTTGTAATAGGATTGTTTGAAATTTTGGTTAGAATGTTATTGGTGGATCAAAGGGAAAAGAAATGTGCAAAAAAAAAGAAGCAAAAGCAAATAAATAAAAAAAGTAAAAAAAAAAACATAAAATAAGAAAAATGAATAAAGCAAAAAAAATAGAAAAAATAAAGACTTAAATTAAAAACTTAAAAAGGCAGTTTAAGTAAAAAAAAAAAAAAAAGGGATATATTTGAGATAAAGATTTGGGGAAATAGCTTTAATAAGGATCTTATGAGATATGCCTAGATTGATGAGCTCAAAGATCAAGAATATTAATAGAATGAGCTTTTGCAAAAAATTCAAAATTAACCTATTTAGAATTGTCTAAATAATCATCATCTTGATTAGGTAAACCTTTTCCAACATTTATCTTGAGCATTTACTTTAGAATGGTTTCTTGTCTTATTCATTCTTTTTTAAATTTGTTTTTATATTGAATATCTTTTTTTTTTCTTGTTCTTCACCATCTATTCCTTAAGGAAGTGTGATGGATTACAATTGTAATTGAATTGGAATTATGATAAATCCTTGCATTATTTTTAAAAAGTTGAAAGTGACTAGGGCAAATAGAAAATGAAGAGTAAATAATGAAAGAAGTTTAAAAGGATGTTGATCTTTGGGGCTTACAAATGAAAAGATAAAGTTGAAAACGACCGGGATAGATTGAAAATGAAATGAAAATGATAAAAGAGGTTTAAAATGATGTTGATCCTTATGGCTTATAAATGAAAGAAACATTCTAAATGCTAGATCAAATAATAAAGCTAGAGAATTTTGGGTCACAAATAGGATGATACATTTGCTAGTTAGTTCTCAAAAAAATGAAGAAGAACATGATGGAAACTAAAAAGGAGAGAAAACATGAAGAAAAGCCTTGAGAATCATTTACCACAATTAGAGCTACATGATATTGATTTTTGCGTTGCATTCATTGTATGCAGTATAGTCACTTTATTCATGCATAATGATAAGATTTTTGCATTTCATTCATTGCATCCATTACATGTTGTATGCATCATGTTGAGAACATTGCATTCATCATATTCATTCTATGCGTCATTAAAAAGATAGGAAAACTAAAGTTTGAATCTTGAAATTGAATTTGAGAATTTTAAAAAACCTTTTCATTCATTGCATACATTCATTGCATGTATTCAATGCATATGTTTGGAAAGCATGAAGGAAAAACTAAATGTTGAGATAATATTGACAAGGGACATTGACAGATGATCAATAAGGATTCAGTTCAAATGAAAGAAACTATTTTGAGGTAAGAATTTTAAAGTTTCAAACCTTCGTTAAAAAGGAGCCTTTTTGGTCATGAAATTTAAAGTTTCAAGCTTTCATTGAAAATGAGCTTTCTTGGACATGAATTTTAAAGTTTCAATCCTTTGTTGAGAAGGAACTTTCTTGGACATTGAATTTTAAAATTTCAAACCTTTGTTAAGAAGGAGCTTTCTTGGATATGAATTTTAAAGTTTCAAGCCTTTGTTGAAAAGAGCTTTCCTGGTCATGATTTTTAAAATTTTAAGCTTCAATTGTGGGGGACCATTTATTTAAAGTTGAAGCCTTGGTGGAGTATTTTATTTTTCAAAGTTGAAACAAGTATTTTATTTTTCAAAGTTGAAGTCTTTATGGAGGAGTATATTATTTTTCTTGAAATCTTGGTGAAGGAGTATTATATTTTTTAAAGTTGAAGCCTTTATTGAGGGATACTTTATTTTTCACAAAAAAAAAAAAAAAACAAAGAGTTGAAGTGTCAATGGAGTAGTATTTTATTTTTTGAAAGTTTTCAAGCCTCAGATGTGAGGTAGCTTTTGTAATTTTCTTTTTTGATTTTTTTTAACCTAAACAAAATAGATATATTTTATCTTTGTATAATTCTTATTTCATAAAAAATACACACAAAAAAACAGCTATAAACACTTCATTTTGTTTGAAAACTTTACCAAAATTCACTAGGTCTCGGACATTGGCCCTAATTCAAAAAGTTTTAGACTTGAGAATTAAAAACCCAAAAATCTTAATTTTAACTTTGAGTTTGATTTTGATTTTATTTTATTTTTATTGGCCAAAGTAAAAGAAAATAATAAAAAAAAAGAAACGAGAATTGTTTGTTTTGGCATGATTACTGAATATGTGATGAGTAGAAGCCAGTTTCTACTTTGATGAGTAATTATTAGTGTAAATACCCCACTTTATCTAGGAATTTTTCCAAAATTCTTTAGTTTTTGAATATTGGACCCTAATTCAAAAAGTTTTAGACCCAAGAATTAAAAGTTCGAAAACTTAATTGTAACTTTGATTTTAATTTTAATTTTGATTTTATTTGATTTTATTTTATTAGTCAAAGTGAAAAAAAAAAAAAAAACATGTGATTTGTTTAGATAGATTATTTTTGGATTCGATTCAGACTAGATTCAATTTTAGATTTAGTAATTCATTACTTAATCGAATATGAAAAACTTGAGGCTTAATTCATGTAAAATTATACAAAATCAAATTATGGAGATTTTTCCTAGATTTGGTTGAATTAAAGTTTTTGGAATTGAATTAAGATTTGATCCCTATAAAAAAACCTAGAATCTATGATCACAAAAAAGAGGAGGCAAGAAGCAAGAATCGATCAAACAACTCTCATCAAATCAAAGCAGCCAAGAAGCAATCAAGCAGTGGAAAGAAGCAAGACAATTCAGATTCAAGGTCATTCCCAACGAATAGTTCTCGATTCGACGAAGCCCAGGTAGTCTTAATCACAAGCAAAACAAGCAAGAACAATCGATCAATTAGCAAGCTGGGAATCAAGAGCAAGAGCAAGAGCAACAAGCAGTAAAAATAAGCTTAGCTTCCAAAAGCTAAGCTCACTAGAGGAAGAATAGGGAATCGAGCAATCAAGCATGCACAGCCTGCAATCAAGAGCAAGCAATCAGAAAAAGACAAGCAAAAGTCCAAAAACATAATTTATTTTTGTTTTTAAAAAAAAATTCACAATTTGAGAGTAAAACCTTGGATCTTAATGACAATGGCATTACAAAAATAAATAAATAAATAAATAAAACTTAGAATGGAAATTTGTGCCCACGTGTTATATTACAAGTATAGTCATTTGTATACAACAACTTTAAAGAATATCACACACATTTTGTGTGACTTCCATACATGGAAAAAGATTTATATGAATTTGTTAGGTGAATTTCATAAATTTTTTTATTAAAATTGATAAATTAAAAGTTTTTATTACATAGATTAAATGTGTAAAATTTTTAAAATGTTTAATAAATTTTGATATATTTTTTAAATAAGTATTTTTAGTAAAAATTGACAAATTTTTACCATTAAATAAGTATTAATCTAATTTAATTATAAATGGTGTTTTCAAGAAGATTTTTTTTTATATATTATTGATATTCTCATTAAATTTTATTAATTTATCAATTTAGATTTTTTATTAAAAATTTTATTAAATTATTTTTAATAAAAAACTTTACTTAAAAAACTTTGTATGAGTTCTTCCCCCAGTGATATTATGACATTTTTTGATAAAATTTAAGAACTTACCAAATTAATTAGCCTAATAATTTTTTTATATCTATGTACATAAATTATGCATATCAACGGATAATTTAATATCAATAAACTGAACCAAAATAGCATAGCAAATTATATACTATTTGTACTTAACATTGCATTCAAACTGCTTTATGGCTCAGATAACAAATGAAAGAAATTGTTTCTATTAACAATAATTAAATTGGCGAAAATTAACTTGCATTCAAACGATTGTTGTGTAAAATCACTTTGACTTCATTCATGAATTTGGAACCAAATCACGTTTGAAAATGATTCTGAGTTTCACAGTTTAAAATCTCTAAACAATTGCGAAGTTTTAAGATGAGTGTTAACCTTTATCTTTTTTTTTTCCTTTTCAAGTCACGTCATCCTCCCTCTACCTTTTTTGTTTTTTTTTTCTTTTAGACGATCATTCTTATTGTTGGCCGAGATGTATCGTCTTTAACAAGGAAGTTATAGCAGTTTCCAAACGTAAAAGGAAAAAAAAATGGCAATTAATTTGGGAGAAAACTACCCTATGCGGTTTAATTAACTTTTATTGGATTGGGTTCCACTTATTATTGTGGGCGGACGGAGTCCAACATATCCAACAATGCAGAATCCACTAATCCGCAATTTTCATGCATTGCCTGATATGGAGCAATTAGGCCACTTGACATCGTTGGGAGCTTTCACTTTAAGCACCGGATTGAACTGAAAAAAGTTTGCCGGTCGGAGCTCAAATCCGGTGCTTATTGTTGGCATCAAAGGAAAATCTTCTTGGTAAGGTACATGATGAATGCCCATTGTGTACCATAATACAATGTCCTTGTTCTCTATTCTTCTATTCCTGTAAATTAAACCAATAATCAACATTATAATAATGCCAACCAACGCAAAATGAAAAATGTAAAAATAAACTTTAATAAGACTATACCTGCTGCTCCATGTGGCTAAAGTGTCATCTCCTCTGCTTTGATCAGTATATAATCCCCCTGCCCATTTTTCAGATTTGTTATATGGTGTAACCCACACATTGTACTTGGTGAAGGCACCCCGAATCTGTGGATAATCATCGTCCGTTAGAAGAGGACCTGCAACTGATCCTGGAATCAGACGGTAGCCAACAAGATTACCCATTTTAGTTTTCTTGTTAGGATTCACAACTAAAAGATCAGCAGCCTCCAAGCCAAGTTTAATTTTTGCATCTGACTCAGTTTTAGCTGTCGTACTAACAACCTTCCAATAACTTTTTCTAGGGGAGCTTTGGTCAGTTACTCTGGTTGTTTGCAATTTGGACTTGACAAAGGAGTTGGAATCACCATCCACATCAAGATCAAGATAGTAGGTGAGGAAATGATCATGGTGAGCACCTATAGTATTTTCTGCCAACAATGTGCCATAGACTTCCTCATTTATTTGGTCTTTGTGGGTATATTTTGATCCTCTTACTTCTAGTAATCCAGATAGCCCAACCTGTTAAGAACGATAAAATGAGATCAAATCAATAGAAATGCACCTAGAAATCCTTCATGGGATTGGTAAAGCTATTAATTAATTAAAGTGGCTTTACTGTGACTTTAATGGAACCAATCTGCTTGAATTCCCAGTCATTTATGTAGTCATAATTGCCCACAGTTGAGACCATCCTAACTATCAGGCTCACATCTGGCCTAACCTCTGTTACCTGCAAAGCCATTAAAATTCCAATCCATTAATAAACCATCCAAAATTTCACCTAAATTTACATTAAGAACCATCAAGACCTGAGTGAAAATTTGACATACCAGTACTTCTGGAATCTCAGTCTCAGTATGTCGCCACATGACATCGCCAGCGTTTCGTTCGAAGATGCAGAAAACTTTAGGCATCTCAATAGGCATCCCATCCTGACCAGCAACAAATCCGCCCATGAAAACTGCATTAGCTGGGCAGTCTCTAAGTGGTTCAAGTCGCACTGCACATAGACCATATCCATATTCTCCGGCATCAAAAAATGTTCTATGGTACCATTCCTCAGTTAAATCCATGTACGGAACAAAGAGCTCTGATAGAAATCCCCTATACATCACCCGACGAAATTTTTGCTTCTCAGTGTCATATACCGATGCTAAAGATATGATTGGACCGACCCGAGAATCGAAACTCAAATGAAAATCCCAATTAGCCCACCTGATTTAAATCACAAATGGACAATTTTGTGTTCAACGAAATCAAACTAAGGAAACGTGTACAAGTTTACCAAGAAAATGGAAAGGAAAAACGTGGACAAGTTCACAAATAGTCATAGTTGGCGCCTGATTAATGTACTTACCTAACTCTGTTTCCATCAATGCTGAAACTAGGCCCGTCTGGCTGCACAACCGTGATTCTTTTCAACGGTGGTCCGAAAGGTGGGCTTTGCTCCGATTCTCTGTAGTCCGTCCCAGCTGCCTTTGGCACAGGGATCATTAATCTATCCTGAAAATGTATGATCTTCATTTCTTCAAGATCAACTGTCACTGTGATCGCTTCTATTGGCCTCATATAGAGATTAACTGTTCCATCCAAATAATAACACATAACCTTAACAATCCTTCCATCTTTTTTCTTCTCCCCGTACCATCCTACAGTAAAACTTGCGCACACTACCTCCTCAATCTTGAGCCCTCTCTTACTTATGGAAGCCAAAAACGGTGCATACTTAAACAGCAACTGTTTTGCAGCGTTTTGTTCTTCAAAAGTGAGTAAAGGGTATCCATAACCATTGTAAATTCGATCAGAAATTATTCGCTTGCGCCATAAATCAATTATGATTTCATGAGTCTTATGGTTTATACGTGCAATAACAAAGGCTTGGCGAGGTGGGGGTGTGGTGAAATAGTTCTCTAGCCATGAAATGACAGCCTGTTTATTTGGTTCTTCCAAACCAACGTATTGAAAAGTTATGTTGTGGTTGGAGGTGGCGTATGATTGGTTAAAAATGGCTTGAACCTCGATGAACTCGTTTGGAGTTAAAGAGTCCAGAGGGTGTTGGATTTGGTAGGAGAAGGGAATAATGGAGAGGGTGAAGAAGAGGAAAATTTTGAAGGAATGAGCCATTGTTATTTTTTAATGCTGCTTGGTTAGCTACTGCCTAGCGGCTTTATATGCAACGAGTTTTGATTTTTAATGGAAAAACCAACAAGGCATTGTAAATTTTAATTATATAAGGAAAATTAGCTGTGTTTTAAATATTGGATTAATATTTCATACACTGTTAATAAATAATATAATGACATCTCATTTAATAAATAAAATTTAAAATTTCAAGCACTTAAAAATAAAAATTAATAAATTTATTTAAGATTAATAAATTATAATTAAAATTTTACTCTTCTTTATTGCCTCCCTTTTCAATGGTTTATCGCCTTCCTATTCAGTCAAGAGATGTCCATTGTGACGATTACCTCTCACAAAAAGAAAAGCTCTCTTTGATCATCACTTCATTTAATCCACACCCAAAGATAAATCTTTTTGTTTTTGTTTTTTTCCCTAGTTAGAGCTTGGAGCCAATCATTGATTTTGAAAGCCATGTGAATCATTGTCAATGTTATAAAAATTGGAAAATTGAAGTTTTTGGGAGACAAAACCCACCACAATAAAATGGAGACAATGCATTACAAAAATGAAACAAAAAATTCATAGCTTATTTTAGTTGGAGTCATTTTTTTTATGAATAAATCACTTGGATGATTCTTGTGGAATTAATTGCTTTGTTGGATTTGCTAATGTCCTGTTCCTACATAAGTTTGCCACATTACTTAGATGCTAGTCGCAAACTTAGCACGTGCTCTTCTTTTTCTGGCTCCAACTTGACCTCTCAATGAATAGACTAATTTGACAAATAATTTTGCCATTGTTATTGTTAGTTTGTGTCGAGGATGATTGTACTTAACACTTATGTCAAGTCTTAATGCAAAAATTTATGAGATTAGTTTAAATGGATTGTACAATCTAAAGGTGAAAAGTTTTCATGCATGTAATATACTGAAGATAACAAGATTAGAAATAGAAATTTAAAAGTAGAATCTACATTATCTTTGCAATTTGTTAAAGATTATGTTGATTGTTTATTTTCTCTTTATTTGTAAAATACATTCTAAATAAAACTCAAATGTTAAGACAAAAGAACAATTTTAATGGCAAGCGAGGTAACAGGAGAAATTTCAAAGGTCCTGTGAAGCCAAAATTTGATTCTTTCTTCGTGAAGGTGGGTTTAGTGAGCTTTACTATGGCCTTTAGAAAGAGCAATTTTCTTGGTATGTCATTGTTACCAAAAAAGGGTTTTGTTAACATGCATGTATATTTTTTTTATCTTATTGTGTTATGTTAAGCATATAAGAAATGTTTGTCATAGTTCTTGGGTTTGATTATGCTAAAAAAGTCTCACCAATTTGTGGACAACTGACCGTGTGAATATTATCTACTCATTTAGTTTAAGGTTAGCTACTAGTCATATGTTTTTGTTTTTTACATAAGCTTGTGATTAGATGGAAAATCAAAGGTTTTCACAATTTTATTGCACTCCTAATTACATCAAGGGAATGTCGGTTGTTGTGTCAAAGAAAATTTCTAAAGCTATTGAATCATTTGAAAAATGCATCCAAAGTAATTATAAGCTAAGGTTTAGCATTTTGACAAATATGATTGGCATAAATAACTAGATATCAACATATATGACAACATAGAAAAAATGGACCAAATGTATTGGGTAGAGGAAAAGTATCTAAAAAGTTATAAAAGTATATAATGGGTGTTTTTAAAATATCTATGCCTTATTTTGGTATAAAATATGGTTATGGAGATAACATTCATTTTTTCTATGAAATGCTACCTATTCAACCTAGTGTATTACTTTTAGATCAAGTGACTGAGTAACGTTACCTTCATTTAGGTTGTAACACATTCAATTCTTCCATTACATAAGTAGTCAAGCATTCTACCTTGTAAACAAAACAGATCAAGTGATCGATTATTCTGTTAACATCATAACCAATGCCTTCATATGTATAAGAACTTAAAATTTCTTATAACAATGCAAAAACATGCATGTTACGTGATAAGTAAGCATCATTTATTTAGATAATATAAATCTATTATTTAATAAATGTCATTTATATAGAAACAAAAGCTAATATCATTTGTATTTGCAAAATTAAAGAAAATCTATAAATCCCCCCTTTTTGCAACTACACCAAATAAAGATAGAAGATTATGCTTTAATATTCATCCATATAGCTTGAAGTGGTAATGTTAATTAGGTTGTTGGGATTCAGCAGAGATATCACTAGTTCTACCATAAAAGTAGTTCTATGAATATTTACTTCACAATTGACAATCCCTATTTTTTTGAAAAAAATGCTTGTTGGGATACAAACATTCCTGATTGTCAAGTTCTATAGCAAGGCTCTTACAAAATGGATTCTTCTCATAGTATCAAATATGTTGGATATCTTAATAAAATCAACTAGTTATATCCTCATACTTGAATGCTCAACTATTGGCCTTTCTTTTACATTCATTTTTTTGAAAAAAAAAAATTGAATAGCAAAAGTATTAACCTAATGGAGCTTTAATATGTTAATTTATCCATGAAGATTGCATAACATAATTATGTGATAAGATGATTACCATTTGTGTTGCAGGAATTCGATCCTTCAAAGGGGTACATCTGGGTGAATGTGCAGCATAATTAGTTAAAAGGATTTAAAAAAAAAGATGATTCAAACTGATTTTTCTAGGATATTCTACAACAACATTTTGACTTTGGAATTGGTATAAAATTTTATAGAAATAAAAGCATCCAAATGTGGATGCTTCGTCTCATATTCTTTTGGATGATGGCATGCCAGTTGATTTTGATGCCATTCAGGTTATTCATTATCTCATAGAACAACACAATATTATATTCACAAATGCTAATGAGACAGTTTGGAGATGATCAAGATGAACCCCTTTTTTCAAGCCATATAAAAAGTTCCCAGCAAAATCAATCATCTCTATCAATGAGATTCAAAATTTGGTCAAGATGATTGTTGAGCATTAATGGACATTTTGTTGGCAACCAAATTTGGTGAAGCCTTTGCATGTGTACTTGTACATTTTGGTTATTAGGGAGTTCATTTTTAACACACTTGTTTTTGGAGAAATGTTTATTGTGCCATATATTGTTTACTTTAGAAAAAAGATGAAAATGAAATGATTTATCTAAAAAAAGGTGCCTAAAAATGACTACTTTGAATAAAAGGTTTATGTTTTAGTAAAAACAAAAGACAAATGATAAAACATAAATAGGTACCATTTATAAGATTTTTCATTAGTATGTCACCCACACGTGGTTAAGGTAACAAGTAACACTAACCTTGTAACCTTCACCTACAAAGTCCACTTATGTTCTTTGGAACATGTGATTAAAACTCATGATCTAAAATAGAATCTTCAACTCCTTTATCTTAAATGGCTCCCAAGAACTTGTTCATTTCACTTGTCTTCCTCGTTACCTTGTTTTCCTTCGTAATTATTGAAAAACAAATTTTTTTATATAAGTTTGGGACCTTTTCATTCCTATATTTGTAATTAACGATCTTTTTTATATTATTTCTCTAGAATCATACATATTATACTAACTATTAGGTTACAAGACATGAAGGAGTTGGGGTTCAAAGAACCAATAATGATAAGCGCATGGCCTTTCTTAGAGGCTATGAGAATTGCATAGGAAATAATTGATAAAAGGTTCAATGCTATTGATGTGTGGTAGATGGTTGTTCTACTTACATGGAATTAAAGTGTGATGGTACAGTTTGTACCATAAAGTCTGGATTTTTTTTATACCATAAACTTTAGACTTTTTTTTTTTAAATCATAGTCTATGACAACCAAGTTTGATAATCAATAATGATTTAGAAACAAAAAAAATTGACAACCAATATTGATAATCAATTATGATTTTAAAATGAAAAAATGACATTGTAATCACTGTCATGCCCAAACTTTTTTTGGTTATCCCAACAGGCAATTTTGCATAGCAATTATCAAATCTTACAAAAAAATTAAATAAAAAGAAATTAATCATGAATAATATTAAAAGAAATATATGAATAAGATATTTTATAAAATTCTATCAATGTTTAGGAGATAAATCATATAAAAGTAAATTCTTTTATCGTGAAACTTGTATCATGAGACTCTAAAGACATATTTGTTTGTCATTGATACCAATTTTGAGCCGCATTTGGATCTTACATACATAAAGATATTTTAATTGATTCATAATTCTAATAAGACAAATTTAACTATTAATAGTTTAAATCATTTAGATAACATATTTGAACAAAGTAAAAAAAAAATAACTAAAAATATTAGAATATTGACTTATTGTTACTTCATTTGATTGGATGAAATAATAAATTTTAGCAGTATTAAGATTTGACATTATCTCTTAACTAGAATCACACCTTCAAAAAAATAAAAGAAAAAAAATAAAAAAATGCTAATATTGTAAACTATACCAAATTTTAAAACATCAAACAATACCTTGATTGTTTTTCTAGCAAGTAAGTGTTCTTTGTATACAGAATGAACATGTTTTTGAATTATTTCTTTGCTCTAAAGACTCTTTCATTCTTAGAGTTCAAGGATGTCCTTTAGTAGTCACATGAAGAAGATCAAGCAAAGTTATATTATGACTCAAAAAATGAGTTTTATGATCTTTTGTAACATTTTTAAGAACATTCTTACATGTTAAAACACCAACGCTACTACTTTTCTCCTCTTCAAATTTTTTTCAAAGCATCAAGCTCTTCAAATAACAATTGTAAACCTCAAATTGCGATATTATAATGTTTTTGAAATCTTAAAGCTCTTTTTGAAAGCTGCAAAAAATAAATGATGACACTATTAAACAACATCATTGAAGACTTTGGAGCACTATCATGTTGTTCATCCAACATGTTTTCTACTTCTCCCTTTTTAGCATTTCTTGTCTACCAATTTAAAACATATCAATTAGGTAATGAGTGCATCATTTTTTTAATCAAAACTATCAACTGATGCCTGCAAAGGATGCCTACAAATTCAAGCATGTGATATAAACAAATTGTAGTTATTAATAATGAAACATATGTCACAATATATTTAAGCTTTTCTTTGTCAAACCGATGCATACTGCAACTATAAA